AAAAATGTAACAAAAAATCCGGCTTTTGATCCCCGGCTCCCCTACATTGCATTCGTGAAGGTTTTATTAGTCCGCCGACTAGTCGGCCGACTCGATTCGTAGCCTCTTTTTTTCTTCGCCTTCCGAGCTTTTATTTTCCGACAACATTGAACTTATTTCGTGAGACCGTTATTAGATTTAAAGCTACTGACAGCAGTCGCGTTTATCCTTTTTGCTGTTTGAAGAGTTGAACAAATTTTAGAACGGTTCATTTTTGTTCATTGTCGTCTCAGTTTGCCTTTTGTAAGTCTATTTGAAGTCTTTTTATACTTTCTGTGACTCCTTCACTTATCCTTAATTAGAGTTACTCGATAAAATGTAGTGACGATATATTATATAACGTTAATAAAACTATACGTCCTAGAGATTTTAATTTTACGAACGCCTCGCTTACTCAACCTCTTTATTTTTATATTTCTTTCATTAATCGAATTCAGTTCTAATAGAAAGATGATGTATTAATGGAGTTTTACATTAACAAATCAAACGAGAGCAAACCTAAACAATCATCTATGGGTCAAACAAATAAAAACTCGTCCGGATTTGAATCGAACCAATGGGCCGCGGCGCGCAAGAGTTTTATTAAGTACTACATTATTTTATTATTATCACAATATCATTGAACTACAAGCGAGGGACTGAGACAAATCTGCCCCGAGCTCCCCGCCAAATTTTCCATCGGGACAAAGGGGCCAGGTATACCAGCTGCGGATTACTGCCGGCTGCCGCGGCCGACAAAACTACCGACCCAACGCCCGACTGTACCACACGGCCGATCCGACACGATACCGACACGCCGCCGCGCCGAGCCACTCAAACGGATTTATAACAAATACGCTAAAGAAATATGTGCTTGTACATTTTGAATCGCGACTTTCGGCTGCCGGACGACCGCTCTCTAGCCAGGCATTCTAAATTTAAAATTTCGAATACATCCAAAATATATTTTTATTATATGATTTTCGAAATGAGGTACGATTTGCCTCTAGTTTGATATTCGAAAAAAATTCAATACATTCAGCGTTAGAAGCATCCATGTGAAAAGAGAACGCGAGAAATTGTTATTCATTTGACTAATAATAAAAACGTGACTCCATCGAACGAGGCGACGAGAAACAAATAGCTCTAATAGCGGGCGGTACCCACACTGTCGACTGAGAGGCGTTTTGGCCATTACATCAATCTCAATTAGCGTGAAATCAATTCGCAGCGGAGCTATGAATATTTATTAGCATTACAATCGCTCGTGACACAGTAAAGGAGTGTAATGCGAGGAGGAAATAATAACGGAGTCCGCTGGAGCGGCGCGGGCTGTCACCGCCGCGGGCCCCGAGCGGCCACATCCTAATTACGCCAATAATAATCAACCGCACAGTAGCCGCCAGCTGCCCGCCACTTCCTTTCGCCTTCTGCCGCCCTGCTCACTGACACACCAATTACCGATCGATTCGATTGAATCACAACCATTTTCTTAATACCGTTCGTTATTTTTTTTATAAGATATCAATTATACAAATTAAGAAAACCGACAATCGACATTAATGATAATATTAAAATGTATCGTACAATGATTCATCATATAAAATGATCGAAGAGCTTTATTATGTGTTAACGATGCGCAAACAGAACGCCGTAAATGTTGAAATAACGGTACGAATATCGTAAATTCGTCGTGTTGGCGCTTTTTATACGCCTACACCGGTGTCAATAGAGCGTATATGGGCTTAAAATAATTATCGAGGGGCACTCGCGCAATTATCGTTTCGATTCGTTCCGTGCGGGGGGGCTATTACGGGGCCCGGGAGTCGATTAATCTCATCCCATCAATCAATTATAGAATACTCCGTGTTCAAAATTTAATTCCCGAAGTTTTCAATATAGCAATAACGCTCTCGCGAAATGAATGATGATGCGCCCGAGGCAGGTAACACGATACGTCCGCACTCTGATGTAAATAAAGTCGTCGGAGCGAAAAATTTCGCGTCCGAATTTATCAAATATGTCGGCGCTGGCCCGCTCAACTAATACATCATGTCGGCGTACGATAACAAATATATTGTTTGTTTCGTATTCATTGCGAATAAATCATTAATTGCGAGGGAGGAAAAATAAACAACATAAAAAAATCTATTAATTAAGAGCACTCACGACACATGATGCCCCGATACATCGACAAGCTAATAGAGCCGGGGGAACACTGATCAGCCGGGCAATCAACATGTAAATTTATTCAGAGCGATCAGTATAATCGAACGCGGTGGGTGCTATTAACCTCATTCGAGACGACGTGAGCATGTTGAACATTATGCTCCCCTGGTCACTTATAGAAATCCTATATCGGTATCATTAACATCAGGTACATTAATGATTCATTATTTACTAGAGCTTGAAAACAAAATGGCGACATTTTATATAGAAATATTTGCAAAAAACATATTCGATATATGCAATGCATTATAAATAGCCCCCAAGATGTTTACAAGACACTAAATATATAATAAAGTTACCATAATTGTTAGTCTCATTTATCAAAATTCCTCTCAATCACAAATAGAAAGATATATACAAATTACATACATACATAGCTCGTATTTCTGGATTATACTTTTTTTTTAAATACAATAAAACGACACGATTATGAACAATTAAAAATAAACACATTAAGAATTTATGCGTCGTTTATATTTAAATTTTATTGTACAGTATTGCTTCTAATAATGTTCTTTGCAAATTTTACATAACTATCATACCGTGACGCATTTGAGCGAGAATGGGGAGCAATTCAATATTTGCATTCATGCGTTTTGTGGGATTTAATACTTGTTTTATAACATAAGGGATCGCAAAACATTTCACTGATAGGGTGCGACCCCTATTACAGAACTATCATAATAATATGTTCCGAGGTATATAGTTATAGTAGGGGACTTGGCGGATAGGTCCAGCAATGCCAATCACGTTTTAGGATTATGATGACGTCTCGCATCATGAAATAATATCATTTGTATTATATATATTATGTTATTTTGCTATGTTATTATTATTATGTTATTACTGATTGCAATTACCGTGTATTTTCATAATTAAAGAAATTACTCATTTCGATACCTGTTTTGACCCGCTATTTATAAATAGGTTCACGCTAGCAATAAGCTTTCGAGAGAAACTTAAAAATCCTCATTTCACCCGAATTTCTTTATGTTTGTAATATGAATCGATTTTTAAAATTCTGCAATTAATTTCATTCACTGCTGTTGATAAATCGAGAAGTCTTCAAAATCGAATAAAATATGTGCAACGGGTGGGATATTTAAAGTTTGTCTTTGTAAATAAAATGTTATGCTCGTTACTAATGATATAGACATGAAACTCTATTCAAAAGTTCCTATTTTAATACTGCTACCCAGTACAGTCCATCGCCTTCTCTTAGTACAGTCTTCTACAGTGATTGGCTTAGATTAGACTTATTTGATGTCGGTTTTGTTTATCTTAAATAAAAATGACTCACCTTATAAAATCACTTACAAAAAGCATCACGATATTTAACGAACTTGGCGGTTAGGGGCGGACGAACGCGAAATTGTTTGCACGGGGCGCTTAGGAATTTTTTTTAAATCTCCCGACAGTGATTAATGAAATAAATTTCGCGTGGACCGCTCCCGTTCCCCTCGAATGGTGCTAAGAAAAGCGGAGGGTGCCGACCCCAGACTTATATTCTCCTCAATTTACGCCTCTCTCAGAGCGGCGGTTATTCAATTGCTAAATATCGTTCGTACCACATCTTGAGCTGGTACACTCATGCTGCAAATTCGCAGTATGCTTGTGCCCGTTGGCTTCATGGTGGAAAAAAATTTACGAGTATGTCGAATGTTTAATATTTCTTAACGGTTTTGCAATGAGCACTACGTTCCATTAAATGGTTAATAACGCGAGTTAGATTCGACAATGACGCAACTTTGTAATAATAATCGTTAAATTTAAATATAACTATGTATATTAAATTTAGACGGATTTTACAGCTTGATAAAGTGTGAGGCGAAGAAAAACAGTGTGTTCCACAAGGGAACTAATACTATGGCGGCAACTGCTATGACTCAACCATTTCTTAGAAAAGTAATTAATCATCAATATGATTATCATAAAGTTTTTATTAACAAAACCGACTTAAAATGTCTGACTCATTAAACATGTCAATTTGATTTTAATGAGTTACCTAACGTATCTCCAGAAACCAAGTTTAATGAATACCAATGAAATTAATATGCGATAACATGGGAGCTAAACCTTACATTGCAAAATATTTTTTAAAATCCATTCATAAACTATTGATTTCTGAGGTAACAAACATAAAACATACAACAAAGTTGAGAAAACAAAATTCCTTTTTTGAATTCGGTTGCAAAAGTGATACGATTTTAAAAACCTTTTTAAAATTTGGTTTAGTTACCAAATCCAATATAAGACAACAAAAATCGTCATAAATAAATAGTACTTTTTTATGGACCATAATATCGACTATATTATAGTGCATATATGATAAGTTGAGTACCTCTTAAAGTAATTACAATGACCACGGGTACAAAGTTGCACTTGCAAGTAAAGCGATACGTATTATACGATAGATATCAGTTTATTATTAATCATTAAGGCCTTGCACGCTCTAAATAGTATGCATGCGTTTGCACAGACGTAATGGACAAACTATTATTATTAGCCACAGCAACCACAATGGCATTAATTCGTATACGGCGGCGAGCATTGTTATGCTCGGAACTGAGGGGGATGCGATGGGGTGGGGCGGGGGTGATTTAATGAACCGACGCGGCGGGCGACAGGCGCGGATTACGCCCCCACTAGCGTTTGCACTCAATCAAGCTCGCAAACAGCCCTAAGCCCGGACAATTAAATACACCGGCCCGAAACAACGGGATACACGGGCGATAAGAGCAATCGGCCAATTAGCGGGCGATCGCCGTTATTGATAACGACGGGCCAGTGATTGAGATGGCGCGCGTTCGCGGCAACGCTGCCGGCCAATCTAGATCAAGGTCTGTGGATATAAGTACACGGTACGAGGAGAGACGTTACGCGATCGCGTCATACAATATAACGTGTTCGGTGCACGAGTAACTCGATACGTATACGTTACGTTGCACAAGCAACTGTTATGTGTAAAACGTTTGGCTGGAAACGTCCCTCGAATTAGGATTACGTATAATTGAATGGTAAGCATGAAATCTGTCAGTCTTTTACATAAGGTGATGCCATGGTCATCTGCGACAGTATAATTTTCAATTAGGGTTGCCTACTACGTTCCAGTGTTCACACATTATTTTTCTTATTTATAAACATTTATTGAAAAAAGTTTTTTAGTTTGCGTATGTCCATAGCAAACGCTCAACTTTAAAATATAGTCAATGTTAAAAGTTTTTTTAGTTGAGTTTAAGAGAGATTTTATCAGATTATTCGCAGGGAGCAAGTTTGAGACAAAAGCTAGTGCTCCATTACGTATGTACGCAAATAGTCGTCACCACCATAAAAGGGCAATTGGCAGACCAAGAACGGAAATGATTCCCGAATATATTTCTGAAAAAAACTCTCATTTCAACTATGAACTCTGTTGTTTATTTGTTGCTCTTTGTCCGAAAGATATTAAATTAATTGCATAATTAGAAAGACAAATTGCATGAAATAAATTGCATTATTTTGCCACACAACTCCGAAAACTTTGGAAATGTCACAAATTACAACAATGATGTCTTCGTAAACTTTCTCAAGCCTGCACGGGACATAAGATTATTGTGGGTTTTAAATTCATTGCTGCTTTTGAAGAACGTAAGCACCCAAGTTAAATTAACTGTTCCTCTTTCGCTGTTGCAAAACAGAACGACGTTTAGATCAAGTTTCGACTCGACGTCTGCTAATAGGAGAACATACCTTGGGTTCGGTTTTCTGTTTCTTTGCCGGCGGTTGCGCGGGGTGTGCCTCCTGCCGAGAGTCGTCCGGTTCCGGTTTGGCGGCCGGCGAGGGGGTGTGGGGCGCGTGCGGCGTGTGCGGCATGTGCGGCGCGTGGCTGCCGTGGGGCGGGGTCGGCGCGTGCGCGGCTGCCGTGGCGGCGGGGCTCGGCTGGGCGGGCGCGAGCCCCGCGGGCTGCTGGGCGGGCGCCGCCGGCTTGGGCTCGGGCCTGGGCGCGGGCGGGGCGCGCTTCCGGCTTGGCGGGCGTCGCGGGCGCCGGCTGTACGGGCGCGGAGGCCGCGGGCGCAGGGGGCGCGGGGGGGCCGGGCGCGTTCGGCGGCGGGGGCACCCGCGCCACGCCGTTCACGTCGTGCGGCGGGTGCGGCGCGTGCGGTGCGTGCGGGTGGTGGTGCTTCTCGCGGGCTTTGTCGCGCCTGTGGCCGCCCGAGCCGCGCTTGGCGGCGGGGGGCGGCGCGGCGGCCGCGGCCGGCGGTTTCGGCTCCCCGTTCATCTCGTTCGACTTGACGATCTCGTGCTTCGCCTCGGAGCTCTTGGTGCCGGGCTTGGTGCGCTTGATCTTCATCTTGAGCGCGGTGCGCTGCGCGTCCGGTTCGGCGCGCGCCGCCATGCCGCCCGCCTCGTCGGTCTTCTCTATGTCGGCATCGAGGTCTATGATGAGGTCGCCGATGCCGATGTCCCACTCGTTGTCATCGTACTCGAAGTTGGCGGGGTGCGCGTGGGGCGCGGGGCGAGCTCCGCCGGCCGGCGCGCCCTCCCTCATTGGCGCCGCCATGCGCGCCGGCTCGCCGCGCCCGCCCCCCGCAGCGCCGCACGCGCACACACCATTGTAGCCCTGGCGCACGGAAACACACGCATGTTACATACATTGTTAATACGGAATAAGATTAAACTAGTGAAACACTTTATAATAAGAAGCACATTACACACACACTAATACGGTAGCTCGTCACTTTCCGAACCAGGATGGTGGTCAAACCTACAGCGTAACCCCTTTTTAAAACCATGGATTACAAGTGGCATGGCCTATTCAAGCAAGACTCAATTGAAGATGACCATGCTCCAGATGGCAAAATGTGATATAAATCATCGAGAAAGTGGAAAAAATTGTATTGGAAGACGTCCGCCCGACTGAAGAAGAAGCAGCTAGCAGCAATGGTTGGAGTATCTGAAACGACGAACTTACTGATTGATTATAAAGAACGGGCCAATACTACGCTTTCTTATTAGAACGCTTAAAGGAGTCTATCAAGGAAAAATTAAGTGGAAAATTGGGAAAAGGCGTGCCTTTGCACAACAACGCAGCCGGTGCACACCAGTCGAGGTGCGGACTGCTGCTATTCACCGATGCGGCTTCGAACAACTGCAACATCCACCCTACAGTCCAGACCTAGACCTTTATCATATATTTTCAAAAATGAAGAAAGATCTCCATGGACAAAAATTATGCGACTCAAGTCAAAAATTTCAGCCTATTTTGACACCAAAGACAAATCATTTTTTTTCGACGGTATAAACAAATTATTTCATAGATATGAGAAATGTATTAATGTTAATGGAGAATATGATGAAAAGGAAAAATAATTTGATATTTAATTTCACCCTATCCCTGTTATTCCGCGAACTTTTTGACCTCCTCTCGTAGTTCATCTGCAATGAATCAAAGAGATAGAATTTTCTCTTCTTGTCCATTTATATGTATTTATTGCCTATAAAATATATTTATAGCCTATAAATAACTGAGCAACAACTTGGTATATAATTTTTAAACTCGTCGAATTCTGATCAGGCGCTTAATCGAGATAACTTAATAACCGTTTCCGTTACCATAACGATCCTCCACCGAAGATGCTTAGTCGTAATAAAAATTAATACAGGCTCATAAAAGACGTAAATGAACATATCCATTTAAAGTGATTCCTTTATAGAAATTTCATATCGTAAGTAGTTATAACCAATTCTGAGAGGCAATAATCGTAAAATAGTCATAAAATCTCGTAGATAAACTCGGGCACTCTCACGGAGCGGGGCATGAACCTAGACGCACACTTAGTGCCAAAGCTATGCATATTTATAACATATTACAACCCTGAGCACTAGAATTCAAGCGTATTTACGCTTAAGTAGCGCTGGTATTAATTTTAACGTGTAAATCTGGCATAGCGCCTAAAATTTTGTTACAACAAACTTCCTTTACTCCATAAAAATATTCCATAAAATACAATAGAAGCTCAGATTGGTAAAACTTGTGTTTGTGCTTGCCAATCGAGATCTTTATTACCATCCCAAATACTACATATAATATCAGTCATAATTTCATATTGTATTAAACAATCTAAAATGTTTAGCCGCCATAAGCTTTAAAATAAAGCAAAGAGGTCCTCCTTCTTATTATAATCGTATCAAACATGGCGGAGTTATAACCACGAGTGGTACTAGGATATCAGCGCAACAGGGATTGCGATTACTTCCAACGGGCAGTTTATATCGTCGCCGTCGAGACAGGATTTAGTGCGCCCTTTTGATAACTTCTCGTAAATTTTTTACAACGTGCCCGTTTATGCTCGCCTGGTACGGCGATTAAAAATGCCTCGTATTAATTTCGTATTTTACACAATTTTTTCCTCTTAAAAATTATTCAAGTTAGGAGATGAAAGAGATCTTTTCAGAGAGACTTTACTTTCTTTAACTTAATGTGAAATTTATTTTAACAAAATTTAACAGTTTATTTTGTAAGTACAGGCGAATGGCCGGTTCGCTCCGTTCATATTCATGAATGTCGTAGTGATCTTGCGGTTTACGAGAGCGCCCCGTTTAATACGAGCGAAGTTTGTGAAATCAGCTGGATCTATTCAAATAGAACATCGGACAGGTTTAGTTTATTCATTACAAACAACTGCTGCTCAAACAAAATGTAAACTTACAACTAATGTACATGGTTAACTTTCAATCTTGTTCCAATGTAAATACTATACTAAAATATACAAATCTCATTTGTATTGGAATTTTCAACAACTTTAGCATCATCCTGACTCAGTAACATTATAAATAATAGATATCTTTTAAAAAAAAAAATTATAGGCATATTAATTGGCATATTTAAGATCATGTTCTTCAAGATTTGTATTTAAAACTACAAACTAGTTTCTATGTCGTTCTGAACTGATTAAAATTATTCTGAGTTAAATTAATTCCTGATAACATATTCAAATTTTAATTAATTTAAATAGATTACATTACTTCTTAGTTCTTAGTAAATAAATTTTTTTTTAAGAATTTAATTATTTTTTGGTCTAAAAATAATACTTAATTAAACCTATTTATACAATAAAAAATATTGTGTTTGTTCGTTCACTGTAATAATAAATTACAACACAGGAAAAAAACGTCTTTTTCAAATAATTTGAATCCTTCACCTTTTTCAATAATCTCTTAATTATTCGATATTTAAATATAAAATAACGTTTGAACTACATAAACTGGTGTAACTTCTGGTAAGTATTATGGTTGACTATCACTAAACAATAACCAATTCGTGTTAAAGAAAGTAAAATGAAAAAGGCGACTTAGACATAGTCAATTATAGTAAATTGTAATTTTAGTAGCGGTCTGTTACGCCACGATTATTTATAAGGAATTTCTCAACGACTGTCAGAAGGCTAACGTTAGTAGGATATTTCCGGTATTTAATGTCTACACGAGGCGAACAGCGCATTGGGGGAATATCTGGAAGTACTATTCACAAATATCCCTTATTATATTATAATAACTCGTAGTCGTCTTTGAATTAATTAAATTACATTTAAATATTACAACTTAATCGACTTATTTAAATATAATGGACTTGCTCACATTATGACATCAACTATATTGAAGTGAACTTCCAATAACGGCGGATTCAACGCGAACGCGAACCAAAAAAGGCGAAAGCCGCAGATAAATCGCGACGGAATCCATTATACCCGGATCGTATGTTTGTCAATAAAGCGTCTGATTGGGGCTCTTCGAAGCGCTGCGAGCCTGGTACCGTCCGCGATTTACGAACCGGCCGCGCTACTTGGCTCGCTGCCCGAAAACCGAACCAACGAAATGCACTTTGTATGAGAAAAATTGTTCGTGGCGCGGAAACGCATTGCATTGCAAAAATAAAAGTATTTCTTTTGTATTTTATTCCCCTGCCTAAATAAGTATGAATATTTACCAACTTAATAAACATTATTGATTGCTGTCTGGCTCGTATTCAATAAAGATATCAGTCAGACGGCGTTGGAAAATTAACAAATTAATCTGTCGAGAGTTAGCTGAAACAACACTGTTGTCTAATGAGATTGTCTCACGCTCACTCCAATGATGTAACCAACTATTCAATAGAACGAAATGTTCCATGGCTGAGTTGCGGGCGCTTCATACGTGGCGATAATGAGCGGCATAATGGGCTCTGTATTGCAGCGTTCATTTTAAACGGTAAACGATATTATTAAACACATCGTGTAATTCTGGCTCTCAGGCCAACGGTTTGTTGTAAGTGATTCAACAAGTAACTACTTAATTGCATACGCCTTATCGGATATTTTCCTTTATTGTTTGCTAAAAATAAATGTTTGCTCGTTTAACCTATAATTGCAAATAACCAGCTATATAAGATAATTTGTTTCTCAGAAATTTAACAGCTATTCGTAATGAAATTATTTATGATTATGTATCGTTTAAATTTATAGCATCGTCAAAATATTTCACAGAGTTTATAATTAAATCACGTTTAACCAATGAGTTTAACATAATTCTTGATCTTAGAATTATCTGAAAGGCATATACTTTTCTACGCAGTTTATATAGACCACCATCGTACTCACTTTTTGTAATACAAATCATAAAGGTTATAAGAGAATATTCAAAGCTATTCGCGTAGTTACAATAACTACCAGCCACCGAATTTTCGTCCAAGTAGTAAGTAGTCTCTTATAAATAAATCAACAAATATGTACATATTTGTTGATTTATTATACTTGAAATATATATATAGAAAATTGACATTGACTTCTATCGATCTAATCAATTCTCTTTATAAAATACTGTAAGACGCAAACTTTAACATCGAATAATATATTATTTTATTATAGCTCTGCGTGTTCTTGAGTTCTTATACACCTTTAGCTTTAGTTTGGAAGTAATTTAAAGTTCAAAGAATAAACTTATTTGAACGCGTATTGATAATCCTTTAATATAGCAATAACAATACAAGATTAGGTTGGCTGTAAAGTTGCTTTTAATTCTTTATATTCTATTACGAGCTGTACTCAGCGAAATTTTCTCGAAATTTGAGTACCTACACAATTGCCGTATAGCTTTTGTTATCTCGTTTTCATTACTAATACCTATGTTACTTTCGAGCGTGACAAACTTTAGGAAAAAGTTATCCTATTATATACATCAACAAAAGCGACAAAAGGTCCTCTAACTTCACTACATAGTATAAAACAAAGTCGTCCCGCTGTCTGTTTGTCCCTATGTATGCTTAGATCTTTAAAACTACGCAACGGATCTTGATGCGGTTTTTTTTTACTAGATAGAGTGATTTAAGAGGAAGGTTTATATACATAATACATCACACCCGTGCTAAGCGGGTCGCTAGTTTTTAATAAAAGGTAAAAATATACAGCGTGTCGTTACCATCTCGACAATAAATTAACACACGTCTAACACTACTTGCCAATAATCATAAAAAATATTAACGTTTAACAAAATCCATAATTAAAAAAAATATTTTTCAAACAAACTAATTAAGTAAAAAAGAAACAAAATTTGTAACATCCTATACAACTCGCGCCACAGCGTCGCATTACAAGCCTCTCCTTCTAACAGTATGTTTTATCTCTTTTAAATTCATTCAACTCATTCATATCCTTTGTGACCTTTACAAATGAACTTTACGTTACAGTTTTATACGTAAGGGTGTTCTAAAATTGTTTGTTTTGAAAAATTTAATAACTCTGTAAATATTGATGTTTGAAGAATGTAAATGTTTAATACAATTTTGAAAATTTATCCTCTACATGTGTGTTCATTTATTGTCGCGTTGGTAACGACACGCTGTATATTTACGCCATCATTTAACCCCTCATCAGTAATGTTAACCTATCAGCGACTATGTTAAGAGCATGACAGATAGACAAGACATTATTTTCAATTCCTGTAGCAGAAAGGCCTGTAGCGGTAAACCCTAGTTCGGGTATCGATATCCCTACATCTGAGGTCAAGTGAGTCGAAGCGTATTATATCCCATCCTTATCCTTACTAATATTACAAAGGCGAAAGTTTTTATGTACGGATGGATGTTTGTTACTCTTTTACACAAAAACTAATGAATAGATTTTAATGAAACTTTACAATAATATAGCTTATACATCGGAATAACACAAAGGTATATTATTAAAGATATTGTGTGAATTGTACAAAATATAGGTAATGATAGTTGTCAACTAAGTAGTGTATAATAAAAAGCTGATTGTAATAATACCCTTTGGCCACGCGGGTGAAGCCGCAGATAACAGCTAGTGTTTAGTATAATTGTAAATTAGTAGTTAAGTTATAATCGGAGTAACTCAGTTAATTGAAATTAATTTTTGCCTTGAAAATGTATAAATTGTCCCGCTTTTCTGTGGCTATTTTTGCCTCAGAATTCAAATAAAACTGCTAAAATAATGAATAAAGTAAGTTAATTTTATAAAAATATATATCTTCCCTTTTACATTTTATAGGCAGACGCAAGTCTAGCCTAAAACTTGAATACGAATATGTTTTATGATTTCATTTCATAGAAACGGTATTTAAAAGTCTCTATTAGGTTATTTTCGTTTAATTATAATTAAATAATGTCTTTATTAATAACATCTAACGTTGAAGGAGGATAATCGATTTAATTATAAGTAAACGAAAAGAACCTAATAAAGACTTTTAAATATCGTTTCTATTATAAATATGAATGTAAGTTTTTTTGTTACGCTTTCATGCCAAAACTACTCAACCGGTTATCATGAATCTTTGTACACATGTTCTTAGAGGTATTAAAAAAGGACATAGGATTATTTTTATTAAAAAAAAAGACATTTCTAAAAGACATTTATTTAAGGGCTTCAACGCGAGCGGAGCCGCGGGCGAAAGGCTAATACGAAATGAAAATTAACAAAGCACTAATAACGCGACACCGCAACAATGAAATACTAATTAAAACACAACGCGAGGCATACGTTCGAATAAGCTACAGTTAATTAATGGAAGCGCGGAATGCAATCGCAATTTTAATACCCGAATTGAAATTTCGATAAATGCGAAATGAATTATTTATGGAGGTTTGCAATTATCCGAATGGTGGTCTCATATTACGATACCTTTGAAATCTCCATACCGATACGCTACATAATCGATAGATAATCGTAGCATCATACTTTAATATTTGAATCTAACTAAGACTACACTACTATAATGTCTTATAGTAGTTTTTGAATTTTAGATATGCAAAATATAGCCATTTGACTTTTATTGGACTTGTAAACGTATTATGTTTTGGACATAATTTACACAGCAACTTTGCTTTTAAAATTAGTGTTTCAGAAGCACTTGTATAATGTTCTCGTGGTCGATGGTTGTAATTATCTTTGCTTTATCTAAAGCAAGATCAAAATTATAATATCAGTTCATGAATAAAAAAGCAACCAAAAGAATGATATTATAATCAGAATGTGATAAATAAAATGTGAGCTTGTATCTCGATCTCATTTCAATCTTCACTGAAAATAACCAATATGAGTTGGAAAGAATTTATTCAAACTTTGTCGTTAACTCTTTGCCTTTGGCCAGTCAGCGTTAGTTATGAAGACTCATTGTTTCTGAATGTTTAGTACAAATACTAAACATTCAGAAACAAAGAGTCTTCAAACATTTGTTATTAAAGGAATTTAAAATTTATATTCCCTTGTCTTATTACGAACGAAATTGGCCCGAGAGCGTAAACGTAATATCTCTACAAAAACTCACAGAAGCCGAAAGCGGAAATTTGTTTAGAACCTACACGGAACATCTTTTAGAAGGCATTATTTGATGGATTGCTTTAAATCTTAGATTGCTTCTGTTAGCGGACGCAAACAATCTTTTTTCATCTCTGAAACATGCTTTACTTCAGAAGAGATCTTATACCTTTTAGCCGTAATTTTATGCTATTCATAGAAACTCTATTGAAGTTATATTCAATTGTATTTTTCTCCCTCTTCTGCTATTATAATGCTGTACTGAATAGAACATGAATATAAGTGAATTAACCTTAATTTGTCTTTTTGTTAGTCAATATTTCTGCTGTTTATTAAGTTAAAATACTTTAACCTGTTTATTTTTACACGTTCAAAAATAGTTACATTACATAAGTCATACATAGTAAAATCACTTAAAATAATTAATAAGTTTTGTGACGAATACCGACAACAAACATTTGAACCAAATGATTACTAAGTTATTTTAACCAATATTGGTGTGACAAGACGTGTTTAGTTATTTAAAGAGGTGGTATGTAGCGTAGTTAAACTTAGAAACGAAAATAGTTGTGCTGTTGACTCTATAATTCACGATTTCCAATTCTGTGTTATTAAGTAGTGGTCCTTGTAATGGTACAAAGTTATATAACACGAAACATTATGACGACCTAAAGACATTCAGTGATTTATTGTTGGTTGTTTAGCAAATTACCCTAACGTTATATCTATCACCTTTACAGTAAATAACATTCTGATAAACATTTATCTTACGTAACAACTTCGTCATATCTATGTTCGAGAACTTCATGATAATATCACAAGCTAATCTACTACAAGCACTGTGTGGAATAATGAAAAAGTTAGACAAAAACAAGAAGCGCCAGACAAACTTAAAATCGTTCGCAAACTTTTAAAGGAGCATACCCGTCTGACTCATACCGTTACAAGCAAAAAATATGTCTTGGCTTTCTGCTAATTAATTCCGTACTTGAAAATCTTTTTAGGGACCTTCTCAAAAGCGAAACATACGCTTGGCCGTAAAGAGTTTTATTATAAAGAGAATTTATATTGAAATAGCTATTAAGTTTAGTAAAATAATTTATAGATTTGTTTCTTTCCGATTTTTTTCGTTCCAATAAAAGTAATAAAATAATATTTTATACTGTTGTTAAGTTATGGTTATACTATCAGAATATAAGAGATATTTTAATTTGCCGTTTCCTCTATTAGTATGTATGAATAGTTATTAGATGTTTGTGGAATGTTTCTTGATAATCTTCCACAACTGAACTACTTCGAAAAAAAAATACCATTTAAATTTGAAATAATTAAAACAATCTGTGATTCGTCAGTTAACTCTTCAAAATCAAATAGATTACAGTGAGTTTAGATATTTGAAGTCGAGTACGAATTATATTTCGGTCATTTTGTACTCAAACTTTGTTCTTACAGGAACATTTACATAATATGTTAAGCTACATTTTAATTTTATTGCAATATTAAAAACATTTAAAAAAGTTTGAAATTAAGAAACGTAGAATCATGCTAAGAATTTATTAAAGTTTCAAGCTTTTATTTTTGAAATATAACGGATAATCAAAATAACAATAACGATTATAACGACCTTTTTTTATAACCCCAGTATTTCACTTTCTTTTGGTCTTGAATAATAAAGAATGTTTCAAAGTAGTAGGATTATTTTTAAAATATGTTTTATACTTGTGTCTTTTTAAAATTGCAGTCGTAGCCAGTTTGAATGAGACTGGAAATGTGTAGCCACCCTTATCTATTCTGCTCTAACACGGGGAGATGGAACATATTCCCTCTCGTTTCCTCTTGCCACTCCTAAAATCTTGTTTAATGTAATGAATCGCATTCATGCAGATACAAAAAAGGCCGCAGGTAGGTTTTTCAAGCGGTATACACAAGTTTTACTTTTCCCTTTAATAAATAAAAATGCTATACTTTAAGAATATTTTATCCATTTAAAATATCATTGGCGAATAGTTACAGTCAGAAGGAATTTGTTCTACGAGATGAAAACCATGCGTTTGTTAGGTGAACATAAAAGCATGTTTATAACATGTGTATAATAATACACTGACATAAGTAAGTAGTTATATACATGTATAGTAATATAATAGACATTTAGGGAGTAGCGTAAAGTTTCTAACAAATGTACACGAAACGCAACCAAGGAGATAAATGTTAAGCAAATAAACGTAACACACCAAACAAAATTAAAGCTAAATGATACATATACACATTCGATGTTGTTATCACAAGAGAAACAGTCAAATAGTTATCCTCACCGTTCCCAACTTGATCTCACGATGACTTGCGACGGCAATCCCAGAGAGACACAATTCATTCAACACTATGGAGCACTATACTGTTAACACTAACACAGCAATGGGGTACTGGCACGGATCAATGCACCATCACTACAACACTCGCATCCCGGGGACGATCCTCTCACCACCACACCTACGGGGAAACAAAAGCGCACATCAGCATACACGTAGCACACAAGTAACACAAGTATTAGGGCCGCAGAAGTGACGAGGTGCAGGCGGCGCGTAACGGACGTTCCAGTTCACAAGCGGGCGCGCGTCACTAATGCACGCCGCACGAATACTGAGTCGGGCGGAGCGGAGCTACCCGGCGGCCAGAAACGGACTCCGAGCGCGATGCTCCCCGCGCGCCGGCGATCATTTCACGCTTCACTAAATGGAAGAGTAAAGTGTAAAATTACACGCGAGTAATGCCCGAGCCTTCGCGATTCCGACTGATGCTAGAGTTCTTTTTTGTTTTAAAGCAGGACCCGTAATGCCGTACTCACGATTAGTATTGCACGTACATCGCGAGACGCGATAGCGGGCACAATTAAAGTGTCAACTCGAGATAATCTAGATGTTTAAAGTACTCATCGGCGTGTTTTCAGTGTAGCGCGCCGCATGCGTTGTAAAGCGTGGCGTGCATTCGTTGTATCGCATCTGTGTAGCCAAAGTTAGAAAGAGATAGAGATGTTTAGAGGAAGCACGACGATTTTGCCGAGAGACGAGGCTCGAATTATGAGCATAGATACAAAAAGCAAATAGCAAGACGTATTCGCAGGGGACTAGACGATACGACACTATTAATTAATACCAGCAAGTTGGCAAGTACATACGGTTTTGTAACCGCGTGCATAGCCACAAGCGAGGCGTGCGGTGATAAAACCATTTTTTGTTCCATATGTGCGCGACTCCGAGAAAACATGTGAGCTAATAAAAAAAGTTATGTTTAAGCGTTCGACTCGGTAAAGTTTATTTGTGTAATGAATCCTCTTAACAAATGGATAATTACGCCCGTTTTATGGGCGGTTCCTGGCGTATGGCGTGGCTGCCAATAAATTATTGAAATGTATTGTGTTTTATCACTAACCGTTTCTCATGAAGTTGATACGCTTCCGAGAATGTGCAAGTCCCATAATCTCATCCGCTTACGAAACAAAGGGATAGAATATCGAGGTTAATCCATTTACATGAATTGTATGACAATGAGCTAAGGAAGTTGGAAATGATTGGAATTTAAATGTATTTTTTTGTACCTGCTATAAATATAAAATAACAAATTAAATATGTAAATAAATACAAGTAGTCCTAAATTATTAAGCATAAATGAAATAATTCTAACGTTATTAATAAACAATCTTTATGAACTACAATCCTTAGGAACAAAAAGACTATAATCATGCATGTTTTATTTGAATCATGATATTATACTATATTTTTTCCTATCTGAAATGTAAATTGTTTAGTCTCATTCATTATTCATAAACTTGTGCGTGTGTTATGACCATTTACCAGAAGCAAACGTTTATGAATAATTTTCGTTTAAGGAACGGCTACATAGCAAAATTCAATTACATCACTGAGAATAATAATATAATTTCATTTATCGCACTTTCGATCGCAATTAAAAATTGAAATTAAATATTGGTTACTAACTATTAAAAGGACTAACTCTGAATATAAAAAAAAATTATATTCCAAATTTTGTAAATGAGTAAAAACATGGGTTTAATGGATCTTTTGTACGTAGAATATAATGTGCAGGTAAAAAATATCAAAGCTGCATGAAACATTCCTTTGTCTACAACTCAAACTCGAAATTCAGAGCCACAGAATTTTAAAGCAGATGCATTTAAAAAATTGCTTCTAGAAAAGGTAAATTAAAAAAAGGTAAATTATTTGCACAGAAACACAAAGCAATGTTTTAATCAAGTATACAGTAGGTAATACGTGATTGATTGATTTTGTTGTTTCAAGTTTTTCTAACAAAAGCTGGTGTAACAATTCGTTGATTGTAAATTTGTAATCGCAAAAATATGCAGTACATTTTAAAACGTTCTTAAAAACTATTAATATCAAGTATGTTGATAAATCTCCCAGTTTTAATATCCAACTAGTAATATGATCAAAGATCGGACACTTGATCACATTGCTTTGTATCATAAAACGTCCTACACTGTTCTATAACACGTAAAGATTTGAAGGATTCACATCGTTCCAATCAACATATTTTTCTCTGCTCACACTATTTGCTTTTTCTTTTGATAAAACGCCCGGAGAGATTTTAACTATTGGATATTTGAGGAGCAAGAAATATTCTCAGATATATTTTAAGCTACGATACGATACGCCTCACATTGTAGGAGCGCGGATATTCCCCGTATTCTTTTGTTGGTATCGCTGCTCTGTGCTCGACCGGCTCTTTGTTATTATTTGAGTGATGCACTGAATATTCTGACTAACTTATCCGTGGTATACACTATTCGAATACTATAAATACTTGCGGACGTGTGCCCGAAACAATGTAGCCGCTCCCTAGGTAAACACGAGAAACGTTTAGAAACAAAAGATTCTAGCGGTTTTAATAAACTCCGCTCGATCGCTGTGGTCCTGGTATTTTGTTTGTTTAAGAACGGAATGGAGAATAACACTCGGTCCCAACTAGACAAGCAATTGAACGGCCGAATCCGTCTATTGACATTGTAATCTAAGCTTGGCGAGACGTAGCAAAGGGGCAGCCATCTGGCTTTCCGAGAACCGACCTTATAGCGGGGAGGCGAGGCAGCGCTTTCACAAATTCGACGAGCACAATGCACACAATGGAGTGTAAGAGATACCGGAAACTATAATCGACATGGGCCTATTTTTAAACGTACAATGGATATATCCTTTACTTCAACTGTTTAATCCCGGCCAACTGCGATATCGCTGATCGATTACATATAACCACAGTGACTAACTCACTTTTAAGTTTTTTGTTCGAAAATAACTAGTGATAACTAATCAACGGTGGGAACAACAATTTAAATGTACATTAATGGCATTTGGATCATCACCATAATTAAATTTTTGTAGCAGATATTATTTATTCCTATTTTTGGCATAAATAAATATCATGACATATGTGCGAGGTTACAAGGTGAATTAAGATGACCGAATTAACATGCTCGTTTGCCTCCTATTCCCATAAAAAAAAAAAAGATAATTAAGTAAAAGAAATGGCGCTATATTACCCAGGAGAAAATATTTCATCGGGGGAATCGGGACTCTCAGTAATGAGGTTTAAGACATGAGGAGGAAGAGGAAGTATTTATGGAAGACTAAGTGCGGTGGTAAGGCGATCTAAAGCAGTTGAAAGATTAAATAATTTATATTATTTATAACCGATAAAAAAAGTTTCGAAGGCTTTTATAAGTCAAAGATACATTGTTAATCACCAGGGTGACAGCAATTTGCGCAGCACGACCACAACTGCAACACGACACTCGATCGGCCCACTCCCCGGCTGATTGATGGCGCGGTGTCAATTTTGCGTTATCACGGATGCCTTTACGTCAAATCGCAAGGAAACACGTTTTTAAACGCATTGTAAACACGTTTCTTTATGTGATCGTTAACTACATTTCATTGAGTGTTAATTATTTTCTTATAGATAAAATATTTATATAGGCTACGAATCATGTGACGAACATAAAGTCGTGAATTGTGTGATCAATTTTGTTTTGATTCCGTTAATCGATAACATATCTAAATCGATTCATTACACGTAAGAAATAATTTTATTCCCCGATTTAATCACACGGATAACAATATCGCACCGAAGATTAATAAAACAGTCTGTCTGTGCTTTAATCAAGAATTTGATAATTCTATTTAAACGCTTTATTAATAAAGATTACAAGCGATAAATATATCTTTTAATACGATACAAAATAAAACATATTGTAAGAAATAATCTAAAAAATAAAAAGCCACAACATTGCAATTATGTCCACGTTATTGCACTTTTTCTGCAATTACAAATATGGAAACAAGTTTGAAATGCGAAAAAAAAAATAACACTGAAATATTGATTTTATTTTCCATTACCATTGATTTAAAAAGGAGACGGAATAACGTTTTTTAGTGATTTTCTTACGTAACTCAATATTACACAATTGTTGCTGGCATTTAATTTGCAATCATACATTATCTTGCTTTGTACACTGGCGGCCGCATTCACATGTAATTAGCACTTAACTAGTATTAAATGCGTTATAGTACGTTCGTGAAGTTCATTATTGAACGCGTATTACATTCCACATGACAAAAAAAAAGAGTAAGCTACTTACACGCTAATTGACGTATGTGTTAGCAGCGGTGATTTATATATGCTCTTCTTCAGAAGAGACGGTTTGATGAGAATTGAAGACATCGTCTTACTCAATATATACAAGTTCAATCAATACTCGATCTACAACAAGGGGAGAATTGAACGAGAATTGATGACAGCGTCAATTACTAAACTCGATCTTCGAGTACTGTACTCGATATTAAATTGCAGCGCGTTAATACCACTACTGGCTATGAAGCGAGGCGTGCGACGAATTACCAACGCTGTGAACAATTTGGACAATACACAGCGACCCTCCGTCGTCTCCCCCACGAAATAATATTAACGCTCAACACATTTATTACAATCCAAAACGAAGATTTATAAATTCCTATAGCGATAGGGACAAATCGCTTCGCATTTTTCATATAGATATTTTGAAAGCTTTTTAGCAGTGACTGTACTCGTACCAGCTTTGGTGAAACTTTTGAAATAGACTTTAATGTATTTCCATTGTTCGCGACTGTACATTAGTGTATTTTTATTAAAAAGGAAATTTATAAAATCATATACATACAATATGTACAGCTTTATTTAAAACATGAACACGTTCTTAGTACGTTGTCCTAGTTTGACGGCTTTTTGATAGTTTCGATTTCGTAATCCAAAATCAGAGAAGCTATAACAGAAAAATGGTCGATGAATTGTCTGTACAGAAATCCGATGATGTTAATTTAAATAAAATAGTAATGTCTCTTTACAACTACGCCGTAAGATAGCTTTACTGAAATTACTTATAATGAAACTTTTTTTTAAATATTCGTGGAGGTTATATTACAAGTCACATATTACCGTTCATTATGTTATTTTGCTCCCGTACACAAAGACAAATGTTGATATATGATGGCTGTTTGTTCACACAAACAATAAACATAAGATAATTACTGTCTAGGCAATTACCGCGTATTTATTATTTATACATGTGATAGCGACCACAATGTACTTCTGAAGGATAAGTCTATTTTTATAATGTTTATTAATTTGAACAAATAATATAATAATAACCTTAACGATAGATACTGTTGTCTTCACCAAAAGTCTATCGTAATTCAATCACGACCTTAATAAACACCTTGGCGTGTCGACGCCGAATAACTGGCGGCGTATCATATATCAATATGTTTCTACGGGGTTCTATTGTGCAAAAGCCGAATTTCGTATTCACGTTACATTACAATGTTTTCAAGCTACCCCCTTTCGGGAGACGGGACGAGGCTCCCACGCGGAGACTCCGCGAACGCTGAGGCACGCAACGGGCGCGTTTGATCTTCCCTTTCGTGTAATATTTATATTTTTTCGCCGCCGAGGCGGAATCCATTTGCAAAGGAATGAAATATGAAAGCGTTCGGGCTTACCGAGCTATGTACGTGTCCCTATCGAGACGTATGATCGAGGATCCTATGAAACTCTTCGTAAGTACGCGTCCCTAACGGCACGTGAGTACACTTTTACCTCTGTCTTATCTTACTTCGCTCCGAAGTTTCACATATTGGTTCTATAATAGATTATAGGAGCAACTTATAGAATCCCTGGTCAATGAGAATATCTGAGAGTTCTATGATTAGGCAAAATCCTTATGACCGACGCTCGAAGAACGTGTTACGAAAAAAGATTGAAAATAATTGTAGAATAAAAAAGTTCATTAAACATTCAGAGATCATAATATATTTTATAGTTATGAATGACAGAAATAAGTTAAAGAATCATTCGTTTGGACAATCGGCCCCTCTCGGACTATTCGGGGCCACCAACTTCGCATGCTAGTCGTGGCGTGAGAAAGCATCTCGACTTCTTCCATCTCTTCGAAACCGGTTATTACCGGATAAAGATGCGCGTAATGCCGTTTTATTACCTTTTGCCAACGTTGGCAACATACCACTCCCCACAACGGAGCCTCTTTTCCGTTTCTTCATGTTTTAATAGGAAATTACATAATTATCTTACATTGACTGACATTTCATCGTAGGATATTAATTTATGAATGAAATTTTAATAAAGCCCCAAGGAAATATGGTATTCATATGTGCATTGGGAGAAATCGAACATATATATCACGACTCAATGGGCGCTCTTCCGTGTCGCACGGTTTATTTTTATAAAAACGATCTCGAATGAAGGCTGCGAATAAAAGTTATTTTCATCTTTTTAATTAAGTTTTACGATTTCAAATTCGGCCGATCTCGAGCCTTGAGTCTTAAACGAGTTTCGTGTTTATAAAACGATCAGGCGAACGACAAACGGTGGTTGCGGGGGTTTTTTCGTAGGTTTCATTTCAAAGTTCCACGCAGCGAACGGCGCAAGTCCTAATTCTTAATTAGCCCGAATTGAAAATGCCTTTGAATGTACGAAGACTTATATCGAAAACTTTAAACATGAAATCTTAATGATTTCCCTCAAAAAACACTAATGGAATACATGTTTTTGGAACCGAAAACATTATGTATCGTTCATTATCCTTATTTATGTCGCTGGAATTAAAATGACTGTACCGGATGTATTTCAACAGCGGAAGTTCTTAGTGTTATTTAAAGTATATCGAATGCTTATCGATAAATTATCGACTTCTACACGCAATTGAAACGTTTTAAAACTCAAGTACCATAAAAATACTGCCAGACGGCCACACGATATTTATAGTCGTCGCACGAAATATAAATTAATTTAAGCGGTCATTTGCTAAGCGAAACATTGTACAAAAAATGCCGATCGCCCGATAAGCGGCTCTATATGAATATCAGGTGCGCCCACGCGCACCGACTCCGAGAACGACATTATTAAGCCAAATCGTTCTCTTTAGTTTTATGCTCGCCTAGTACCCGACCTAATAGATGCGATGGCGGCGCGCAGATAACATAAGAAATACTCCGCTCGTGTGTTTGATATACACTTTTGAACCTTGATGCTTTTTCTATTTCAATACAGATTAGATAGGCAGCCTCACAAAGGGCTCACGTTATTGCGCGTTATCTCGCTTTTTATGTTTACAGCAGCGTGAACGATAAGTATTCATCGGATATAACGATTATTTATACAAAACCGATACTTTGGAAACGTGATTTAATTTTACTACCCGACTACGCTCCGTGTCTGTCGTGAATACGTCGACGACGGAGTTGTTGGGGTGACGCAAATGTTTTCCGAACTCTAAATGGCGGAGAAACAAAGAGGGCTTTGAATAGACGAACGAACTGCATTGAAGAGAGCTCCGATCCCGACTGATTATGTAAGACGGGATCATTGTGAGTCCGTCACACGCCGGCCGCTGAGGGGAAATAATTGCAGCCGGCACTAACGGTACCCCGATACGAACAAAAGCAATTTGTGTCCGCACGAAGTGGTACGTGCGTGGCTTCGTAGGTGTTTATTAGCGCCGGTTAGTTACGACATGTACGTAGGTGAGATACCGCTCCGCCTCGCGAGTCACGACCCCCCCCCCCGAGGTCATTCGATATCACATAATTCGAGAATATTCACGCTATACGCGGTCGAACAAACCGCTCACAATCGTTTAATCATACTAAGTTAATTAGCTCTATAAGTTACGTCCCTTGTAAGAACAAGATGAAACACGAGTTTCGGTTGCGCGTCACACGCTCAGGCCAGTTGAGAACAAAGTAGCATTTGGCCATAATCCAAAATCACTTACATCACAGATTTAGTTTGTCGGTACACGGCGTATTAAGCTTGAAGAGACGATCCGCCTCGTCATCTGTTACGTTCTCAATTTTGTCTATGACAAACGTTCGGAGCGATGAAGTAATGGGACAGTAGATTATTAAATTCGAATTGTCTATGGTCGACGTGTCCGTAAACTATTGGCGATGGTCCAGGCGCACGCCCGTCATAATAGCGCAATTCACTAGCATCGTTCGGCGACAGTTTCGATGTGCACTAGAAAATAATTAACATGGTCAATTGATGTCGTAAGTGAATATACAGTCAGTCATATCTTATTAAATGTTAGCGTATTTTTAGCACTCGTGCGCTTCAAAATGAACGTACGGTTTCACAAAGACCTACCCAGAGAAGAACTGGTCTGAACTCTGCGGTTAAATATTCATTCTGTATTATTATTTGCTTATCTGTCCAAATATTATAAACTCAACAGAATCGCTCGTACACGGTACGATTTATTTCCACACACCTGCTTCTAATTGTATTCTTCAACAATATTATATCGTCCCCCAGTTAGTTCGCGACGTGCTGTATTACTTGCGACGCGACTCAGACGATGTTTACACGAGTGAGCAATTCTTTGAATCGTACATTTTTATTGGTACGTTTAAGAGCAGGGGTGGAAAACCTTTTTACATATAAGATCTATTTCTTTAAGACTGCATCTTCAATCCAATTGGAAAAGAGGAGATATAGTGATATATTATTTGCACTATGATAAGCGAAACTTTTGACGTACTTTGAATAGAATACTAAAGAATTGATCATTTTATTTAGGCTAAGATATCGTGGGCGGTTGACCGAATTAGCCAACGGACCGGTTGGGTACCCCTGCTTTAGATTCTGTGCATTGTACGCGCAACGTATTCCGGCGGTATTTTTGACGAATGCTCTTTAGTCGCTTCCCCATTATACGGCGGGACAAATGCGCCGTCGATTTATGCGGCGACGTCACGACATTCCCTCGTTACGATCTCCCGAACGTCGCCCTTGCCGCGCGGTCCGATACGATAATCGATTTTATCGTCGTTTCGCTATAAAATAAACGATAGCGGATCTCGTTGCTTCGTTTAAGTCGTGTCATGCTATAACGGAGTTGTTCCAACAATATTGCGACGAAGAGCGCCTCTAATTTCTTGGCAGCGACGCGACGCCGCCGTCATAAAAGCGGAACAAATTGACGCGAAGAAACCGTTCGCACGGATTTCGCCGCGGCGAACGTAAATATAACTTTCCATATTTCTAACACCCGTTTCGGATTAAATGAGCGCGGAAATATTATTTCAACGCCGTTCGACGTCGTATAATAGAATATAAGTTATTTTGTTAAAGATTCAGACCGGTTTTGGAAGAGTTAGGAGTGTTGATTGGTAATCTCAGATTATACATACTCTTTTGATGTCAACTCTGACCTGTTTGGTTTATGTATTATGTTTGAATTACTTTAAATTAAATTTGGAATGTTAGCTTTATTTGTTAAGACTGAATTGTGTCATATTTGATTGATTCCGTAAACGTAGTGATTACATTCTCTTTGGATTCCGTAAAAATCGTTTGGAGAAGTAACATGTCTAGCTATCTAACATAACTCTTGTATTTTACATAAATTTCATAATGATTACGTTTGGTCTAAAATAAGTTCAAAATGTTTAAGTTGAAATAAATAGTTTTCTTATCAGTCCTTAAGTGTCTTTTTGGCTTGAAAGTGATCCCATTAGCTACATCTACCATTCGAGAAGGTGATCATTATGGAATGAGTAACATAAATAATACACAAAGATTTTTTTAAAGATTATAAAATGTGGACATATATTTCTTTGGGGGACATTGTAAACATTTGAGATTTATGAATTAAATGCATTACAACTGTAGATAAAAATTATTCAGTTCTTCAAAATGAACACATCATATTGAATTAACAAATTAAAACAGTATTATTATCACACATAAAAAAATATTACTTGAACAAAAGAAGCATATTGCCTATGCGCATTAGTGTGTATAGAGATAATCGTACAAAGTCATTAAGATAGCCAGCTCAAGTGATTTAAACCGACAATCGACATTATCTGTATTTGAAACAAATTGCGTTCGCGCCATAATGATTAAGCATTCCGCTCGGACGGCATCCATACAATTAGTCATTCAATAAACAACGTGTACAAAATCAATTCGAATGTTGCTATTGCCACTAAAAGTTGGCCGTGTCGCGGCTCGTACCGAACAAGCCCATGCGGAAGTCAACATTGTTAGGCGGCACCAATTTGCAAACAAGCTATTACAGCGCCGCAGTCAAAAGCGCGCCAATAGAATTAAAATACCATTACGCCGATACAAAGTTGATTGAGTCGGGGAGAGAGGGCTAGCTCGCGCCGCGCGCCCCCAATACCACCGTCGAATGCTTTTCAATTTTTATAATTAAAAACCAGCTCCGGCTCAAGTGATTCTCTCTCGACGATATATTTTATTTGTATCAACGATAAACAATTCAGTGTTGTTTTATTACAAACACCCTATAATGTTAATGCACCACAAAGAGTGGGCGTTGGTATAAATGTCGGTGCTATCACGTTCTTGCAAGCACTAAAGTAGGGAGCGTATAAAAGCGAAAGCCTCGCTACCGAAGTAATTCCCTCAAATTCGGCGGCAAAAATCGGTGGGCGCAATATGGTAACATTGGCGGTTTTCGCTAGCATGGCCGCCGCTCGCCCCGCTCCGACTCCGGCTCTTGTAATTTGATTTGGAGTGGCGCGGCGCGGGGGAGGGGAGGAACGCGCTGGGATCGATACGGTGCGGGGAGGTGCGGGGGCAGGCCGCGCGGGGGGCGGGGCGGGGGGCAACCACCGGGCGCGCGTTGTCCCGGCAACCGAAGCTACCCGCGCTTTCAGATTTCGTCGCTTCGTCCCAGTAAATTAAACAAAGAGGATCGCCCGATATCATTTTCAGGTGCTCACGAAACTTAATGGAGCTGATTTATGTAATGATAATGTCTCCGAACGCCAGTTATCCGCGTCTACTTATCACTTTGCAGAGTTTATGAAAGGGCCTCATAAACAATCAACCCTAATTAATTGAATTTCAAAGACATAAATGATATTTCAACGTAATTGCTTATGAAGTTATGTTCAATAAAGTGAAATGAGTAAAGCGATCGCGAACCAATCAACTCAGTTAAAGTTAGACGAATAAAAAATGATTGAGCATCTAGAAATATGATTGAATGGCGATAAATTCGCTTTTTGTACCATTCCATGTATAAAATCTACACGCGAACGTGTGCGTGAGTATAACTCATTCAGATGTTGTGTATTCGAATAAAGCTCTGATAATACAATATCGTTTGGCATTCTGAAAGAAATTGGCGGAATTTTTGGACATATTATATGGTCCTGTTCAGAGACAGGATTGAATTGAGCTGCGGCGACAGATTTAATGAAATTCCTTTAAAATAATTCCGAATAGTTCATAGCGAGCTATGATGGGAGAAGACTCGAAAAGCTGGCGGAAACTAAAGTGCTTTGTGGTCGCGCTGCGGTTTAAGAGGAATTAATAATGAAGTCAAAATACTGTTTGCGCGAATCAACTGTCAGTCATTATTACGCAACCGCCAGTAGTCACTAATATATAACATTAATACATAATAATTAAACGGCAAACAATATTAGCAAATCTATTTTTAAACACTTGCAACTGCATTATAATAAACACATTAACTTACGAGTAAATTAACTTTAGTGAATTGATATTGAAAACGTTGATTTAACTAACTCAAAAGTGAACCATTGTGTTTCACGAATACATTATACGACGTCGATACAATAACAATAACTTGTTGCTTTTATTCATATTGAATTTGCAGAGCTCTATAGAAAGATCGTTTACCTGCACTTGGTAAAATACTTATATCGTGCGTCACGAATAGAATGGAAACAATATAAATTGTGAGTGCATGGATGGTGTAATAGTTTCAAGTGGTAAACTCGCCGACTGCCATTGTTGCGGGTTCGATTCCCACGCGTGTCGAACATTTTTGTTATAAATGTTTCGAGTCTATTAGTACTATTGTCCGTAGTTTTTCATATTTTGTTGGTTTTTTTTTTTTCGAATAAAAGTAAACTAAAGCACTCATCAACTTAAGCGTTACTTTGTGTAAAAACCACAACGCATTAATGTGTTGATTGTAATGTTTTTTGCATCAACGTGAATAGTCACAACGCTAAAAACTATTTAGTGATCATGATGCATTTAGTTTTGTTATAAACAGTGATGGACTTATACGATTAAATCTTCGCCAACTGGAAACGAATTGAAACGGAATGGTGTTCATATAACGCACTCAAGAGAATAAACTCACATGTTGTCACACAGGCACACACGTATGCTGTGTGAGGTAGCCGGGACCCGTTTTATCAAAAGGTGACAAGTGACAACGCATCTGCACACCTACAGGAGTTACAAATGTCGATGGTCGGCGCTTATTGCTTAACATCAGGTGAACCACCAGTCCACTTGCCTCAAGTAAAAAAATGACAAGTTGCAATATTTTCGAGAATATTTATAACGACACATTACACACATTAATAAATAAAACTATTCGAAACTTCGGGAATTGAAATAAAAAATATTAAACGAAAACAACTAACTAAAAAAAATTATTTCATACACGTAACACGGTAAATTATATTTAAAAAGAAGTGGTTTCGTGTTTTTTTTTTATGTGAAAAGTTGCCAAGCGAGCAGGCGATTCACCTGATGGTAAGTGAATACCGCCGCCCGTGCACATCTGCTACACCCAAGGGTTACATATGTGTTGACAACCTTTTGAAGATTGGGTTCGGCTACCTCACTCACCAGACGAAACGCGAAAGTATGTGTTATACTTCCACTTTAGGCCGGTCTTCTTTCTGTGAGGTCGTGGTACTTACCCGGACGAGGCTGCCCATTTGTGCAACAGCAGTGGCTGCTGCGTGCCCCACCACACTAAAGTTGTGTTTTTGTATTATAAGCAATATGTATTCCAAAACTTGATAGAAGTATAGTTATTCTTTTGGGCTAGTCTCTCGTTTCTCTTGTGGCACTCGCTAAGTGCGAATTTTGTTCTTCTTATGTGGACTACGCCGCTCCTTAAAGTATTTAATAAAGCTCGCATAATTTGTCATATTTCATACAACTGCCGCCGCGCAAATCTCAATGTACTAAATATAGTGGGGTTCACATATAAACGGTATTCTTTGTTGGGTTCCGCACTCAAAGGATAAAACGGGACCCTATTATTAAGACTCCGCTGTCCGTCTGTTTGTCCGTCTGTCGCCACGCCAAGCTGAATCTCATGAACTGTGATAGTTAAACAGTTGACATTTTCACAGATGATGTATTTCTGTTGCCGCTATAACAACATATACTAGAAAACAGAAAAAAAATATTTCCGTACGGCTCCCATACAATAGATATGTTTTATTTTGCAGTTTTTATGTACGGAATCCTTCATGCGCAAGTACGACTCGCACTTGGTTTCTCTGCATTCTTTGGGTTCTGAATGGGGCCAATGGTATAGAATACTGATGATATATTAAATAAATCAACCGGTACCATTGTCAGCTTTTTACGTACCGCGCATTCAATAAATACTTTTTGCCGACTGAGAATAAACCTACATTTATGACGCGTATCATTTGTGTCAAGAATCTTGGCTCTGCACGGAATTGTTGGCTGCCTTGTCGAGAACCTTGCTCACTACGGAGTTTATAGTTGATAGGGTTCATTTTTGTTTGGTTTTTAAACTGAACGCTCAAGTTCGGTAAATCATTTCTCACGTGCTTTAAAGTAATCAATACTAGTATTTGTTGGAGTTATCTTGTTAAGAAGCAAGCGGCTACGCTAAAGGCTGACGTCACGCACGCCGCATAAAATCCAATATTGTGAACTCCGTGAGTTAAGTACATATTCGATAAACTAGTCTGATGACGTCTATTTCGATGAGCTTATTTAAAAGAATATGATAAAGTAATAAGCTATAACAATCTACGAATTGAAAGCAAATACATCAGTCAAAGTATAAGTGTACTATTTAATTTAACTTTTACGTACGTAATCTTATATATAAAAATGGATTGCTGTTCGTTAGTCTCGCTAAAACTCGAGAACGGCTGGACCGATTTGGCTAATTTTGGATTTGATATATTCGTGGCAGTCCAGGGAAGGTTTAAACGATAAGAAATTATGGAAAAATTGCATGGAAAATTGAAATAGCAACAAGTTTATTTTCCCATACAAACTAAAAAATAATTTATATGGCAAAACAACGTTTGCCGACTCAGCTAGTATTAAATACATAGTACAGCGGGCGGCCTTATTACTCAAAGTAATAACGGCCAATACATCATTACTCAGAGTCGACAATTAGCATATAAATACAATCACTCCTCTTATAACATAAGTAAACAGGGCTAGCACAATGATCAGCTCTGTTCAACAAATCGCTTCATGGAACTAATTAAATGTTAGGAAACCGCTTGTTGAAGTATTTGAGTGCCACCGACTTTGTGTGATTAGTCAGAACATTCAAACTTCCTGACGTACGAATGCTTCCCATAGCGGCCATCTTGTTATTGCTATTGACGATACAAACATACATTTACAATCAGAAGAAGCCAAACAAAAAAGCTATTAAAGCTTTCAATAGAAATGATGTTAGGAAAGAAAACATGGGAACCCTAACGCCAGTCACAATCAAGGAAAATGATCAATTGGCGGGCTTCTAAGTGATTTTATAAGAAAATATCGGAGTAAATTCACATGTTGAGTCGAACAATAAACATTGAAATGTACATACATATATTTCAAGCGACTCCTCTAGTTGAATTCGCAACGAGAACGGTTGACGAAACTTTATTCATTCCCAAACGTAGCCTGCAGTCTCGTGAAATATGTAAAATATTTATAAACACGCGCTGCCGCTTTGCACGGGGCTCGCCGTCGCGAGTGACAAATCATGCCGACGAATGTGGCATGCGCGGTGTGTTTTCATTTAAAACGAGAGTTGTTGTTTTTTTATTTGCAGTAATTGCGTTTAGAATTTTAAATACTATGATTTAGTATTATTAGCATATTTTGAATGAAATGTTCAAACATTTTTTTTCCTTTACCAGCGATTTGTCTACCTCACACCGATGAGAGATGTCAAATTATGAACAATTATTCCATATCACTTTTAGACCGATGACGCAGAGAGCCCGAAGTGTCAATTTACGCATGTTTATAAAAACAAATCCGTCCAAGTATTTTGGAATTTAAAAGTTAAAAAAATATATCAATAAGTAAAAAAAAAAAAACGTTTCAATTCGCTAATGGACGACCCCTTTCTTGGAACCGACGCTATCGTAATACTACTATGGTTACATAAACTCAAAAAATACTAACGTATAGAATATTCAATGTGTACTTAATCTAACTTTAATACTCCAACGTAAAAAATCACAAGGAGGCGAAACCACCAATGTTAATGCCTAGTAGTAATTTACGAGCGAACAAAATTACTCGCTCGGACTGGTGGGGCAGCGCTGGAGGGTCTCCGTGGCACAATTGAATAGGCCCATTTAAATTGCCTAGACGGGGAGATAAGCAGACATAAAAGGGCGGGCGATGATGCTAATACAGTGAACTTAACCTGGCCGCCGGCACCTTGCGGCGTCCCGCCAAACTGGTTCCGCCGCCGACCTTCGTACCGTCTCGCTCCTGCGCGTTTATGTCGCCCTGGTACAGCCGATCGCTACGCCCGATTGGTTTCTCCTTAAACGTTATTTTATTTTCATCGATGCTAGGTTAAAATTGTTTCTTAACTTCTATGACAAAATTAATATTATTTATTTGAATTTCTATCAAAATTTTATATAACCAAATTGACTCTACTATTATTACCAAGTAAAATATGGTAAGTCCAT